GAGCGGGACAGAAAGAGAGAAAGGGAGAGAGGAAGGGGAGAGAGCTGCGCTTCAAGTGCTGCAGCAACAGCTCAACAATTTCAACATCCGGCTTCCGTTGAAATGTAATGGAAACCAAGTACGAATACGTGCCACAGTCTGTGGCAGCTTTACAGTTGGCAAATGGCAACTGCAGGCCGCAAGTGTCGCAAACGGAAATCTAAGCAGCCAGGACACAGCAGGATATCGACTGCACACGCAGGAAAAAACTAGAGAAGCGACAGCGCCAAGAAGCGTGCTTCGAGTAGGGAATGAATGTCTAGCAGATACCCTAAACGGAGTGACGATGGGCTAGGTAATCTCCATATATAAATATAGATATGTAGACATGTAGAGATCCAATGCTTGAGTTGCTCTGCTTCTTTCTAACGAGAATTTGACTTTACTCTAATTTCTTTTTTAAATATCTATAAAATAATATTTTCAATTTTAAAAGAAGCATGATTGAACTGTTCTAAAGACTGTATATATTCTAAAATTCTGTTACAGTGTCCAGCGAAAGTATTCATACACTCATTTGCTATGATAGCAAATTAGAGTAATGGGCAGACTTTTCGAAAAAAAAAAAAATATATATATATATTTTTATGAACATATTCTTGAAGAAAGCTTATATACCACATTTTTAATGATGCAGCATAATATTCTTTGAGATTCAATGATCTAAATGCCTAACCAAAAAAGAAAATATTTTTTTTTATTTCTGTACTCTATAATTAAACTTACATAACGAATTTGGTAACGCCAGCTATAATAGAGTTCGAGCTATGGCCAAAACGTAGGTCAAGCTATTGATATTTGGCATTTTTAAATACAGTAGAATTCCGATAATTTGAAAAGGCAAAGAGATCACTTTATTTGCGATTTACACAAAAATTCATATAATCCAGAATTATTGAGAACGAATTTCTCGCAAGCGGATAGAATTTTTTTTTTTTCGATTTATAGCGATTTTCTATTTAGCGGAGTACGAATTATCGAGACTCGACTGTATTTATAAAATTATAAAAAAAATTATAAAATTATAGATAAATTATAAAATTATAAATAAATTATATAGTATATACAGTAGAATCCGGTTATAGCGACTCCGCTAATAGCGTCTGTACGGTTATAGCGACGAAAAGTCTGGTCCCCAGATAACCCCTATACGGTTATAGCGCCTTCCGGGTATAGCGATGGTCCTTATTATGTCGTTATAACAGGATTCTACTGTATTCTATATGTTTATATACATTACATAAAGGTTCTCGAGATGGAAGCATTCATATAGACGAAAGGAGAAGCAGACAGATCGATAGAAGTATTCGCATTGAGCAATAGTAACTGACGAAATGCCTAGACATATTGAGTCATATAGATGATGTACATTATCGAAAAGCCCACCCCACTTATATAAGCTCTGCATGCCCCTTGTAAGCCATTCATCACTGGGTATACGAAGCAAAGCGAACTTGATTTCAGGTGGAAAAATGCTGGGGCATAAATCAAATCAGGCAGCGGCAACGTTGCTAAAGGCAACCACCAACAGCCTTCATTAGTGTTAAACGGCTAACAGAGTGTGGTTACACCACGCCACGCCCACATCGCACACACACACTCACGCACTTATGTGTGTATGCTACATAATTGTGTCACATATCATTGCGGCTCTTGATTAATTGCCCGCTGCGGCAAATGTGGCAATTATTTTAATTTTATATTTGTTACATTTTTCCTTCTGCTCGCGCTGAATTGAAGATAAGCTGCAAAAATGTTGCCAGCATTAAACATTTATGCGCCATAACTCTCTGCCACGCCCATGCCCCCATCCAGCCGCTCCAAGCTATAGCTGCATAATGATGTCTACTGCTGCCTGCTGTCCGCTGCTGCTTAGATATAGTTTCTCCCACACATACATATGTATATGTATATGTATGTATATGTATGTATGTATATTATATATGTATCAACTGCCTAGTGCCTCATTTTCATAGAACTTCCATAAAGCGGCGCTGATTTGCGCCATTTAGTTCGCGCCGCGCTTGATTTATGCGTTCGCCAGCAAGTGTAACGGTGCGTATGCGTAATATCTGACACTGAAATAGATATACATACATATATATAGATATAAATCCTAACCGTCTTGCCCTGCGCAATTTGCAACTCAAACTTGACGCTTAAATCTGGGCTGCGAAACTTTTTTCTGACTTTTGCAATCAAATCGCCAAACCAATAAGCATCCTGCCACGCCCATGCGCCAGCACACGCCCCCATTATGCGTGCAGCTGCAAGCGGCAAATGCAACGCAAAAAGTTTGCTAAGTAACAAGAAGGAGAAAAGTTGAAGCTCTTTGAGTGTGGACATTAAATATACCCTGGAATAAGATGGAGATTTTTGGCATTTATTTGAAATTCAGGCTTCTTAATATAAACATTATATATTATATTTAATTTATGAATTATTTTACAGATCAAACTTCAACTGTTCTTCTGCTAACTCGCTCACTCAAGTTGCATCCATTTTCCAGGGTATTTTTGCAAAAGTTTTTGTAAGCGTTACGCATCTCTTTCTTGGCCAGCGAAGTTTCCTCGCTGGGTGTGCTGTGGGCGTGTCCGTCAATTGGACAACTGGGCGAGTCGGCAACTCAAATAGAAAGTTTTTATTTTTTGCGTCAACATTACGCAAATTAGTTTGCCAAGCCAAGCCAAGCCAGACCAAGCAAAGCCAAGCATCAAATGCAGGCATACCCCTAATGACATTTATGCCACAGTCAAGTTTTGGATTTTAGATAAGCTACATGAAAGGCCAAGAGAGGGGGAGCAGGGAAATAGACGTATCACTTCTTTAGTGTTGCAAATGTGAATGATATGGGTATATCCATTGGATCATTAAAGAAAAGCAAAGACTGGCAGACATGAAAATATATATATATGGCTTTCTTAGTTAAGCTAGATGTACTAATAGGCAAAATTAGGTGAAATAGACTTCATATCATATTAATTAACACGTCTAAACTATTTAATCAAAGGATGTATGGGGCAGTCCAAATGAGTGCAAGGCGGTCCAGGAAATAAAAAAAAAACAGCAGAGGTTTTCCAACAGAATGGCCTTTCGGCTTTATATATGAAATTAAGGAAACATAATAGTTAGAAAGTATCAGAAATATTTAATGTTTTTAAAAACTGTTATTTTAAGTAAAAATTTAAGATCTAAGCTCTTCGATTATATATCGATAAAATGAGAATGGCACTCGGCAGCTTAAGATTCGTAAAGAGCTAGAAAAATTTGTGAAAAACAGAAAATAGATTATATTTTATATTTAAGCACCTAAGGCATTCGCCTTCCTCTCTCTCTCTCTCTCTCCCTCTCTCTCTCTTCTTTGAACTTTTTCAGACTCAGAGCTCTAGCCAACATTGTCTTAGCCTCTCTAAATATTTCTTAGCCGCGTTGTTCCCATCGCATGCATTACTACCTTTTGTGCACACCTGTTAAATCATAAAATCAAATATGCATTGAATTACATTCAGCTGTTGCCCATTCACAATTAAATTATCCCTTTTTTGCAAGAACAACAACAACAAAAGCTTAACTCGATTTGCTGGCCATAAATTTGCTACCACAAGAGGACGACCCCCCACACTCTCTCATCTTCACTCTCTCTCTCTCTCTCTCTCTCACTCTCTCCCATTACTCTAAAAAGCAAAGCGGTCGCAATTTTTTAGTCGACATTTTGTTGCGTTCGCCTCTCGTTTTATGCGCAAAAGTGCGTGTAATTCAATTTTTCATGCGCCGCGGCACCCAAAGGAGGCGCACCGTGACAGACCCTACCTTTTTCGTGTGTGTGTGTGTGCTAAGACAAAAGAAGCGAAAATATGCGTCAAAGGCATATTTTGGCACGCAATTTGCGTCGATGGCATGTCCTTATTGATGAGCGATCCCTTTTTCAGTTATCCTTTTAACCGTTAACGCTTATCAATATTTGATGCTAAAAACCTTTTAAAAATAAAGTAAAAATCCTCGAATCGAAATTGCCAGACTACAAGATACCCTGAGTAATGCGATAGAGCCAATATTCTCATCATTAGAGGCATCTCCTTTGACCATACATATAATAAAGAACATATGCACATGCATCCACACGGGCTCTGCTAACTGCGCAGCTGACGCAGCGACTGCGCTGGGGCAAGGGCAAGGGAAGGGCTGAAGCCTAGAGGGAAATTGCTGTTTTCTAGCTTTCTAAATTAACTTTTCTGATGGAATTTTTTGGCTATAACAATTTTATAGAAATATTTAAACTTGAAACTTGAAACTTGAAATAGAGTTGGTATCTATTGGTTGGTTGGTATTATTTGTACTCAGCACATGGCTCTGCTCAGTAAATCTGAAAGCTCTAGCTCTAATAATAAGTAAAATAATCGATTCTGATCGACAACTAGATAACTATAAGCTGTTATCGATAAAAATCGATCACTTGTAATTTTAAGTCTAACTTAACGAAATTGTTGAAAATATAAAAAGCTCGCAAAGAACAGATTTCTAATCCAGCTCTTTTGGCTTACATGATCGATGTGTTCATACGAGAGAACAAAACGACGGAAGGACAGACATACAGGCGGATAGATATTCACGGACATAGCTACATCCACTCAGCTGGCCAGCCTCATCCCTCACATACATATACATATATGTATATACATAAAGCCATGCCATGCCTCCTTCTGCCCGTTACATACATGTTCTCTAAACCAATATACCCCGATTTGCCAATTGCTTTAACTCCAGAAAAGCAACAAGAAAGAAAGAAAAAAAAGTTCATTCTGTTTTATGCAATATTAAATGCGTTAAGCTCTTCTTTTATTTATTTATTATAGATGTGCATAATGCGACACGTGCCGCCAAAGGCCATGACAGAGTGTATTTGTGTGTGCGTGTGCGTGTGTGTGTGTGTGTGATTGGTCTCTCGAATTCAGTTATTAGTCTCAATGGTCGACATCGCGATTCGTGGTGCGTCGTCGCTTGGGCGTCACGCTGGAGCCACGGGACCGCGAGCGGAGCGCCGCACGCAAGCTGCTCGACAGACGAGGCATGCTGGCCGCTGCTGCTGCCATGGCCGCTGCACCGCTGTTGGGGTCCGTTGGGCGAGCCAAGTTGCGTGGGTAGCCCGCAGTGGGCAACAGGGGCTGGCCACGCCGCGGCATAAAGATATCGGGATCCAGCATACTGCGCTCGATGGCCACCTCGAGGCCTAGATCATTGCTCAACAGGTTGGACGATGTGCCAGCAGCTGCAGGAGCAGCAGGAGCAGGAGCAGCAGTAGCAGCAGCAGGAGCAGCGCCATTGCTGTTGCTGTTGTTGTTAGTGCTAGAAATCGAGTTGGAGTTCGAGTTCGAATTCATGTTAATAACGGTATTGGTATTCATGTCGAAGACGCCGCCAGTTGTGCCTGTAGCCGCTGCACCGCCTCCAGCTGCTGCTGCAAGTCCGTTCGATGCTGCTCCTGCCGCTGCAGTGTTGTCCGAACTCTGCACCTGGTCACTGCTCGCTTGGCCGGCCCTCTGACGGGAGCGCAGTACGCCTGTCGCATTGTGCTCGGCGAGCAGGCGATGTAGCTCTATCACTAATGGTGACTCCGTATTCGTATCACTCATATCGAGCAGATCTTCGATCTCATCGGGCACCTCATCCTCTGCCTCCAGCTCAGCCGAGAAGCCGACACACTCATCCTCATCCACACACTTGGAGAACTCCACGAAGTTACGCATGAGTTTCGTAGTGCTCAACGGCGGCTGCGGCGGCGGCTGCTGCTTCACCGGCTGCTGCTCCGGCGGCTGCTTCTGCTGCTGCGTTTCCTCATCACCCTCCGCCTCCCCCTCCACCATACCGTCCGCCACCTGCTTAGCAATTTCGATGGGCCTCTCCATATAGCTCACATTGCACTCGTAGCTAATCATATCGTCGTAGGGCGAGCGAGCAAAGTTGATGAGCTCGTGCACAAAGTGGCTGGTCTTCGATCCCAGAAAGTAGGACAGCGACATGTTGAACTCCAGACTCCTCATGTTCACCTCGAGCAGCAGCTCCTGCAGCACATCGAAGACGGTCAACAGCTCCGCCTGCGCGTTGCACAGCAGCACGGACAACTCACGATTGGCAAAGCAAAGCAGACGATGCACCTCATCCGAATTGCGCCTGCAAAGGGAATACATATACATAACTCGATCTATATCTATATAGATGCCACTTTACCTGTACACCAATGGCGTGCATTCGCGGTAGCTGCGCGACTCGTCCTCTGGCAGCGAATACAAGTTGTTCGCATAGACGTAGACGCGCCAGTAGACCATATAGCGCGAACCCATTTCAGATATATGTAGTTTCGATCAGTTGCCTTAGATATTGTAGGATTCCCTCTGTAGAATACCACAAACAAAAAAAAGAATCGAAAAATCAAACGAAAATTGCCACAGCAAAATATATCAAAACAAACGACTGACAGTCTAAGCAAAGCCCAAGTTTCTCATGTTTCAATTCCACTTCGTTTCACCGCCATAAACACTTGTTTATGTTTTTGTGTGTGTGTGTGAGAGAGAGAGAATTGCCTGGGCTGTGTTACTTATTAAATTTCTTATTTATGTTATATATACGTACATCTATTTGATCAAGCTAAGTATCTTTCTATATACATATATATATATAGGGCTTACCAAATTTCGTAAAGCTTTCTTATTGAACCGTTCAAATCCAAGTTTTTGGGAGAGATGTCACGAGCCTGCTGCCTGGGAAAATTTGGGCTGCCACAATTCTTAAGGCCGGTGCACAAATTCATATCGATAACGATAGTAATCGATATATAAATATGAAAATTATGAATGGAACAGACTGCAGTCTAAAAATCTCTCTCTCTCGCGCTTTTCTAGAGAAATATCAGCTCAAGTCTTGAGTAGGAATGGAAATTGTCGCCAAATTAGGTTGAATCAGGACTCCGAAGCTTGGAAACCTTTTGAGAAGTTGGACTTTGACGAGCTTTCATCTAAAAGCTGATCAGCCATAATCCAGAAAGATTAGAAAGAGATATATATAAATAGATATATATTCTATATAAATAACGTAAAATAGAATAGGCCGACATTTATAGAATTTCGTTCTTATACGCAGAAATTCATTAAACCAACAATTCAAAAAAGGTTCCCTAATACTTCTTATTGGAGCTATATGATATCGCGGACCAATATTGTTAAGATTCAATTTATATAAAGTAGAGATGATCTCTTTTTCTTATGTTACTTCTAAATGCAGACGAAGTTTTTCATACATCATTAATATTTACAGTCCCTACCATATGTATGTCCAATTTATATAACCTGAACTATACCTATACCTATTCCAAATTTAAGGAACTTAACTTCAGGTAGCTCAAAAGAGAAGCTGATAAACAGACAGACACTATTGCCTATATATACTCTTAGTGTATAGATGAAATATGTATAAACATTCTATAAAACCTTTTCTTGTAGCTTACATATATATAGTATTAAATATATA